ATCAATCCTCACTAGATTGATGGTTCCAACTGTAATTGGTAATTTGTTTTAAACTCCCTCCATATCAAGGAAGTAACGTTGAATGAACAATTACCTTAGTTAACTAGACTAATTTAACTGCTGACCATTCCAATCTCTCTAATCAGAAGTGGCCAGTCCATAACTCATGGACTGTATGTGGCCCCATCAAAACTTTTGTTATAGTTGTTGCTTTTTAGCCATGGTGCCGCTAAGATTGTGCTGCCAAAATCTAGAAGTAAATTCCTAAGCCTGGGTAGATAGGCTTTACACCAAAGACCTCTTCCTCAAAAAACTTAGGAAAAGGTTGAAAACTCCTGGCCCTTCCTCTATGTTGTGATCACTGCACTGCTGACACTCTATGTGACTTAGCTGCTAAAAACCTAACTATTGTAGATCCTGGTTGCTGACCCCTGATGTATACTACTCATAGGGAAGCCTGGTTCCCACACAAACATTGTATGGGTACTCAGTAGAATGTTTTAATAACATTTCATTCCACATTCTTTTGTTTTAGCAAATCTTCTCTCCCCCTTCCTGTTTCTCTTCCTTTCTTTGATGATGTCCTTTCCTGGCCAGGCGAAGGGGAGGCAGGACAGAATGCAATCTTGTACAATGTTCTTAACACCCAAAGACTTATCCTACTGAGAAAAACCAGAAATAATCATATATTTTCGATACTGTCCTCTGAGCCCAATTAAAGGATACTTCAGAGTAAAGTGAGTCTGGAGTTTAATAAATGGTGTCCAGATTGTACTTCAGATATGGAACTGTAAGCAGCATTAATTAATCTCAGGAAGACTAAATAGCTTATCCTGACCCCGTGTCAGTGCACTGTGTATATCTCTTAACTGGAGGAACGCAGACAACATAATATTGGCTTGCAAATAGACTCTAGGTTAGAGATCCTAGTTTACACAGATGACCATGAAGCATGTATGGATAAAAGGGGGCTTTGGTTGCACTTGTAGCATACTGATTGAAATGTACCAAAATACAAAGGTACCGTTCTCTTGCTGCAGGGAATGCTACAAATGGGTACAGATACATTTAAGGCTGATAACCTAATCTACTCCTTCTCTATCTTCCTAAAAAGTATAATGTGAAAGCCCTAATTCACCAAAGCCATGATGGATGGCAGAGCCAATATGTAGAGGCCCATCTGGTGACAACATAACATCTGAAATATTATGACTTGGAATGTAAGGAGGAATAAATGATAAACAGCATGAATTAATGACCAAAAAGAAAAAAAATAGATAAGATGGAGTTTGTGAAACTAAGAAAAAGGAGAAGGATATAATAACTGAAGAAGATGGTCTGATCTACTGGAACTGATGAATAGATGACACAGGAAATAAAGGTGTAAGTTTCTTTATGAATGAAATCGCTAAATAAATAAATTTATTTATTTAGCGATTTCATTCATAAAGAAACTTACACCTTTATTTCATTTATTAAACTCCAGACTCACTTTACTCTGAAGTATCCTTTAATTGGGCTCAGAGGACAGTATCGAAAATATATGATTATTTCTGGTTTTTCTCAGTATATAATAACTGAAGAAGATGGTCTGATCTACTGGAACTGATGAATAGATGACACAGGAAATAAAGGTGTAAGTTTCTTTATGAATGAAATCGCTAAATAAATAAATTTATTTATTTATTTATTTATTTATTTGTATGCCACCCATCTCCCCTCGAGGGCGATAACATATATGTTGAAAGGATGAACTGATGTCATCTTGGGTATTGTGAATGCATATGAAAGTAGGAATTTATAAGTTGGTCACATTTACCTGCATGTTGCAGTACATGGTAACAATGGAAAAAACAGGAATGAGTTTTGATGAAAACTGCACAACATTTTAATAACTGTGATCCAAGTGAAAATATAATTCTGTGGATGACATGAAATGAAATGAAATGAAAATGAAAGCTCAGGTGAGATGAGAGAGTACAGAAAAAGTGATTGAGTTACTCCGAGATCCAAGAATGAATTAGAAAAATATTCATTTACTCTGTATCTGTTTTTTAAAAACTCTTTTCTTTTGAATATATGTTTTAAACATCAATACATTCATGTGTGCACATGAAAAAGGAATGAATCAAGTGTAATTGATGACATTGTTTTTGATGAAATATTGAGAGAATCAATGAAGAATACAAAGGTGATGATGACAACAGGCTTTATAGTATATGTGTGTATATGTGTTTGTGTATAAAATCACTGCAAAATCAGAGATGGCAAGGAACGGTTAAGTTTAGAATAGGCAGATGAAATGCAGAGCAATTTTCATGAGAATAAAAAATGGTTTTGGAAGTGGGTGGAAAAGGCTAAACAAGGAGTCTCCAGCATGATAAAATTATCTGGGGTGAAACTCAAGTAAAAAAATGCTGGAAGGAGTATTTTAGAGATTTCTATGAGAATGATAAAGAAGTGTAAAAGACTGAAATTGAAATTAATGCTATGTTAGTGTCCAAGAAAAATAGATGACAAGGAAATAATAAATTCTGTGACAATGTTGAAAAATGGTAAGGCTGTAGATGAAGATGGTAAAACTGGAGAACTGTTAAAATATGGATGCAGTTTATTTAGCAGTGAATGTCCAGCTCACTTATTTGTTAGCGCAAAAACTGCATCGGTGATAATTAGAAGATTGGTGCTATTGTTGCCAAACCTTATACAAAACACAAGATAGAAAGAGTTAATTCAAAACCTATCTCCACAGAGTGGGATCAAAAAAGTCAGGATGGAAGACTTAGTCACATGGTCACAGCCACCATCTTGACTTTCTGATCCCTCCTTGAAGATGTCCCTAACGGAGGGATTAGTTGTTAAGTATTCTGGAAAGTTTAGCAGCATTTTGATTGAAAGTGTCCAGGAGGTAAGAGTGAGAAAAAATTGGAAAGTGCACTGTGCCTTTATCCTGGGTGGAGGGTGTGCAGACCAGATTTTTGCTCCTCAGCATGTCACTGATAAATGTGTTAATCTGATAAAATGTATTGCACAGTTGTTGATTTTTAGAGAAAGCATATGATAAACTGAATAGGCTTGAATTAGAGAATATTTTATGTGACTGTAGTTGAAAGTTGCTTGTTTAATATAGTAAGAGACCTCTATCATGGAAATAAAACATGTGGAGGAAAAAAATTGAATGATAAGCAAAAGTTTCAATGCAGCAGAGAGTAAGAACAGGATGTGTGATTCCCCATTCATAAGGATGCAGAGGTACATTGAATTCCATGTGGTCCTTGCAAGATACAAGCCCTCTCTCCATCCACATCATAACGGTGGGAATTTTGCTTATTTTAAATAAACAATATTTATTAAAAATGGTTTATCTTTCACTTTTTGAGATATCCCAATATTATAGTTCTTCTCAATGATCAAGCTGCTATACACTTTAGGTGTTGTTCTAGGCTTCAGGTGAGTACTTGGGGGCAGGGAGTAGGAGGGTGACAAATGGGGAATTCTCCTCCTTCAGACCTACTGCAGATCTCTGGATTCAGCTGAAGTGCAATTCCCAGAGGCCCCAACAGCATGACCAGTGGTGCCTGGAGCTGTATTTCAGCAATATCTGGCAGGCTGGGTTTCACCTTCCCTATGCTGAAAGCTCTAGTATACAGATTTTGGGAGCGGGGGAGGGAGGGGGGGATGGGGCTGTTCTTCCAAGTCCATTCAATAGGTCTGAGTAAGTAGATATAAATGCTATTAAATACGTGTATTATTCTTGAGCAGAGGTAAAATATATACACGAGGCATAATGTAATAATTTAATAAGTTCCTCCCCCCATCCCACCCTGCAAAACATTCTCCTTTCCAAGTCAGAAAATACAAATAAATATAATCAGACTCCAATAAAGTTGGGGGTGGGGGACTGTTAAATGATTTCTACAGAAAATTCCTTCCTTCCTTCCTTCCTTCCTTCCTTCCTTCCTTCCTTCCTTCCTTCCTT